ATACGTCAAATTTACTACGGCTAGCCGAAGTAACTGCGATAAGATTTAAACTGAATTTATGCATCAAAAAAACTCAGTTATCAGTGGCACTTTGCCATAGTAAACTGATTCATAAATGTTTCTGAAGCGTTTCTTTTTACAATGACGCCGATTACTGATTTTCATTGCTCCTTTGATCTATACTGAGTTAGTCAATCTGTTTTTATGAGTTGCATAAGTGTAACATTAATTTCTAACTTCGAAAGAAGCCTCTTTCTATGTTCTCAGTTGTTAATTCAAGAATATTCGCATGTTCATCTCATAAATATTCACATGATTAAGCATAAAAATATCTCTTATAGTTCTTCCATACTAAGTGCTCTCTTCATTAATCTTCACTGATAAGAACTTTTCTGATATCAATATATAAAATATGTCAGCTAATTTTTAAAGATGAATGAAGCTATTAGGTTTAAGTTGTAAGCATCTAAGAAGAATCAGCAAACTATAATCAATTCTCATTATTCTGTTACATTAATTGTCGTAGTTTTAAACAAATTCGAATAACTGTGTTGAATATTTTATTCGGCAATCAATAGTACTAGCAAAGTCAATGAAGATAACTAAGTAATTTTTCTTATTTTATACATATTAATAAAGAAATGCTCGGTAATTGATATGCTTGAAACTATTACGGGTTTACCTTACTCGGTAAACAGTAGTGAAGACAAATGATGCAGTGATACAATAGGCTATTCTGAACCTATTGTTCCCGGCTCTTCTAACGATAGCAAGAAGTCTTGATCAGACGTAGAAAGTGTGTATTCTACAGATATCCAAAAAATACTAGGTCGACAAACACACAAATCGAACTTATTTAAACATGATAGAAACGTCCTTGAGAGAGCCACAAAAATGACATGCTAAAACCAATAGCAGTTAAGGATTTTCCGGGTGAGAAGTGTAATCTGAAGGTCAACTGACCAGCCCATGTGCGAAAACACAAAACCCAAAATTAGGACCTTTATCAATTGAGTTCTGGGAATCTAATATATAATAATCAGATTCAACGTCTGGGGGCGAATTTGTGTTGCTGAATGCAGAGGGGTGTGGCGGCAGTAAGGTGTTTCCCTCGGACAACCAGCAGCTGCAGCGATGCTGTCTTCTCACAAGGAAGGAAGGGTTAGAAAAGGTCGACCCTAATAGTGTCACACCTCACCCTACCTCAAGGATTTCCGTCTCCGGCGGTAAGGGTGCCCAATAAGGGTTCTTAAGAGCGGAGCTAATACTAAAAAAACCGTTCATCAAAAGGCCGTGCGTGACCGGCCTCAAACAGTTGTCCCTTGAACTCTGCGGTCATGCATCCAGGTAGTTAAGACCAACACTAATCCGCCTTCCTTTTCAAGTTCCTCAAGAAACAAACTCCCACGGTGTGGGCAACCGGGAAGTGACAACCGCCCTCATACCCATAACAGCACGCGAGACCAAACTGGTCAAAATAAAATCTTTCCTACACCCCCCTTAATCAGATCAATGAAATTTTGAAATTATCTCTTATATAAACGAAATGTAAATACATATGAACTTTTACTCCGAATTTCTTCAACTTAATTAATGTTATAGGTTTACAGTTCAAGTAATTAACTGTTCTCTGATGAAAAACTTATCTTTTAATTTTTAAGTGTCCTAAAATTCGATAATATTTTTAAACGGTATCACTCACTAGATTTTATTCAACAGAAAATAATCTAATCCAATAAAATTTTTTAAATTGTATTCACCAAGCACTTTTACGCTTGAATGATTTGTATTTTGTCAGTAACATTTTCTGAAATAAGTAAGCATTCAGATGACATTGGGGCTTCAGAACTACTACTAAATAAAATATTCATACCAAGAAATGAAACATGTTTGTATACGTAGAGTAACAATTTAATTAAATGTACTCTTTTTAAGTCATATCTTTGTGACATACTTCCCAAACAAGTACTGAATTATTAGTTAAAGATAGAAAGTCAATCATGACTACAATTTATATTTAGAGAGTATCATTGAATACCTGTGACTACTACTGTACAGTTGCTTCCTCTTGTCTTTAATTTGAACAAACCGCAAGAAACCATCAAACTGAAAGCTAAACAAAATAGTTAAATTTTTTTTTAAAGTGAATAATCCCTTTCGATTGTGTTGTTCATTGGTAAAATTTAATTCTATTAAACAAGGACCACCACTAACTATTTGTATTGAATAATTTCTTGGGAATAAACACTTTCTCACACACAGTTTATGAATGAATGGCTTACTTATAATAAAATACCCTAGTGCATCATTTCATTTCTTTTGCTCTGTGTGATAATTAATTATCAAGTAAAGTGAATTGATAGATCTACCAGTAGGAAATATTAATTTCATCTTTTTTTCCCTGAATATTTCTGTGATTAATGCATAATTTATCATTTTCCCAAAAATTATGGCTGAGAGTAAAAAACATCATTGTAAATTCAACTTGTATTTGTTCTGTTCATCCTTATTGACATTGAACAAATTGTGTTCCACCTAAAAACCATACCAAATTTTTGCAAAACAAAATAAAAAAAAACAGTTTGTGAATTAGAAATACATTTTTTTTTGTATGAAATTTCGAATAATCATTTGTGTAGATTGTTTATTTTTTCCCACATAATTTGACGATGTTTATTGAAATATGTTCTACATGTGTATTCATGGATTGCTATGATTTTGTTCAGTGTTTCATTATGGTCATAATTTTGTTGTCAGCGTAACAATCCCAATTCTAGTGCTGCAACAAAAATTTTATTCAAAGCACTAGCAATAAACTAGTAAGTAATAACTGTTTATCATATCTGATCATTCAAAACTATTGCTTATATGATACATTATGATTATAACTTTGTTATTTACATTGTGTAACTTCAAATATTGAATATATATCTGTATATATATCTCATAAGTAGAGAACTGTTAATGAATGTTAAGTAATTTTCCAAAAGACCATTAAGTTTATTCTTTACACAAATTTTTACGATGACTAAAATAATTGTTATAATTTACTACTTTGACTAAACATTATGATGAGGTCAATAAAATTAAATGCTTTTTTTATTGTGTACATAAATCTAAAACAGTTATTGGACAGGAAATTGCATAAATACAATACTGATAAGCATGTGAAAACAATACCGTAATGATCCTAGTTCAAAAACCTAGTGTTCTTTTGCATTTGATTTGAGATTATCGACTATTTTAAAAATCTTGAGAAGTTTCTTTCATAAAGGGGATGTACTACTGATGTTACACCAAATTCGGTATAATTTTTAAATTTTACGGATTTTACCTCTTTTTTTTTCTAGACTATTTAAAAATTTTAAATATTTAGACAACAACTTTCTCATTGATAATAGTTGTTTTGTTTGTGTTACAAGTTCGTAATTCACATTTAGAAAACGTGATCAAGAAAATGATAAGTGTTGTTATATTCTGATGAATGTATAGAAATTATATATTTTGGAAGTTTCCTGTATAGGCTTTCCTAACGGTTCAAGAATGTATTAGGGTAAATTAACAAATTTAAACATTTAAATAACAAAATAATCGGTAGGTGGTGTCAGGAAACTCAATTCTCAAATAAATTCAATTTAGTAGCCCCTGATAAATAAGAGTAAACAGTAAGATTACATAACTATTGTTGTAGTAAACAACTAATGAATCATTAACTTAATAGCCGGACAGCTGATACAATGAGTTATCACACGTATGATTCGGTTTTTGTAGTATGGTGTAAACATTTCATGTACCGCTAAGCTATGAAGACAATAAATCAATAGAAACTATTTTCATTGATTCTGGTCACGTTTATCCTTTTAGTCAGAGCGCTTTTATTTCTCGATTCATCATAAATATCCTTACTTTAGGAATCAAATATTTCATAGAGTCTTCGTTACTATCTTAAGTTATTCGTGAATGCTTTTCGACTGTTATCCATACAGTAGCTCATATTCATGTCATTTCATTCATGTGTGTCTCATTTGTCAGTCAGGTTTTCATAAAATTCATTTTCTGATTGTCAACAATATTATTCTTGCTTTTCATATACAATGTCATTCCGTTTTCTTAGTACTGTTATTCCTTAAGGACATAGCAGTTCAAACTTCGTTCTAAGCTTTCGATAATGTTAACCATAGTAAATGTTATTTACTTGTTATAAGTAGTAACCAACTTACTTTGGCTGAAAGCAGTCAGTGATTTCCCAGAGTTTTGATCAATATAAATACAGTTATCCCTAAATGAAACACTATTGATCATAATTGTATACGGTATGGTTTCTTACCTCTCGCTTGTAACGTTTAGTTGAATTAGCGCATAACATATAGGATCAAATTCAAAGCGCTTGGCTTCAGTCTAATACTTTAGATGACGATTTGTTTGTCACGAAGTTCAAAACATTCACTTTTTCTTGAAGCTAGATCGATCATAATTTATTCTATGCAAAGAAATTTACTCTGAATTTATTTTAAATTTGACAGTTTTCTAAGCAACGCTAATAATTTGGAGGGAATCTTATTGATTATGTTTTACTGACTATTCACTGAAGGCCCCATGATAATTTTTAACTTCAACTTATCTCGATAATACTAGTGATTACCGGGTTTCAAATCTCAAGATTACATTTAACTAAAATGAATTTATTGTTCATCATATTTGAGGGCGTTTTCTTGTAGATAAAACACGTGACTAAGGACTTTATTGCAGTTAGTCATATTTATTATGTAATTTACATTACCAACAAGCTATTCTGCGATGTTAAGAAAAACGTATCTTTTTAATTATTTTGCTTTAATTAGGCCAAGGTCACTGCTGTTTATTTGAAACTTGCTAAACAAGAGTGACAATTAATATTAGTAGTTATGACCATTCTGTACAGTAATTGGCTGACCCGTTAAACCAATCAAATTTCTTCAAATTCGCGTGCACTTGTAACTTTGATTTGAAATACAATATTACTAAAACATACCCATTGTCGTGGCTTCAATCATCAGTCTACAAAGACGGGAATTTGTTGCGAACTATTTAACGTGATAACGACTGATGCTACGATCACTGATGATAGAAACTTAATACTTGAATGATTTATTTCTGGTGTACAGGATTATCGAGTTCTTCTATTTAGTCCGAAATGTTGTAGTTTTGTGAACGTTAGGAACAAAACAAAATATTTAATTTCCGCATGTATATAACAAGTTAACCAGCTTTACATTTAAATTCAATATGGTTTACGGCAATGGGACGAATTGTGATAAATTATGGCGTGCATGGAACACAATATTAATTACTGTGTTACATATATTTCTGATATATGTTGGAATTAATCGCTATTTAACTTTTAAGGCACAAGCATTCGACGCTAAATTTGGTGGTGCTTGGGATCAGTCATGCATGAATTTCACATTGGCAATGCTTATCACAACACTGACATGTTTCTGTTTATTTTTATTCTGCAGTCTGATACGTACAACAAATTATGCCAACGAAGGGACTCAGATTGGTAGAGATACAAATAATTTACATTTATTAAATTCCCCATGTGTTTGGAAATCTGAACAGCCTACGATGAAGTTAACTTCAATGACAGATCATCAAAACTGTTTGTATCCTAACGCTACAAATGGTAACGGAAATATGATGAAAACACTAAACCGAAATGGCTACAATCCCGGTGACGATGATCATGCTTCAGCTATCGGACCAGATGATGTCCTACCTGGTCCCAATTATGATACATGGTCAGGTCGTAGTGGAGTTAACCAGACTTTATTCAATTCTTATGCAACTAACTATCATAATAATACGTCAACTGGACAACGTTTAATTGCTAATGATAATTATGTACATTTATCGTTTAAACGTAGCTTCAACTTATTATGGCAACGTTTTAAAAGGAATTTCTTACCATACAGTGTTGTTTTGCATTTGATTATGGCTTATTGTTTATTCATACCAATACCATTAATGCAAGCACAGCAAATATATCATCGAGCATTACCTATTAGTAAGTAAAAATAACTATTTCTGTATATTTATAGTGAAAACTATTTTCCGATGACTTGTGTCAAAATTATAAATTTTTACTTGATATTTAAGTTTTTTTATTGTGAACCTTTTCAATGCCCAGTCCTTTTTTACCGCTTGAATAAAGCATAACTTTGTTAAGAAAATATTAACAAGTAATTTAATATAGGTGTTGTACATTTTAGCAGCGAAAAATCGTTGTTTAAACACTAATGTGCACCATAGGGACTTCTTTAAGTATCGTAAATGGCCTAGAGGTACATTATGTTCTCGTAAGGTTATATTACATCACAGTAACTGTTTGATGCTATTTTCAGTACTTATCTTGAGTTAGGTAGAGTTGTAGTATTGGCTTATAAGTTAAATGTTTTAAACACTGAACCTCATCTATTGCACCAGTTGTTCGATAAAAACGTGTCCCTGCCGTTTGTAAGTAATCAACTGTCACAAACACAACCGTTATAATATTCATAATAACATCATTAATTTATTTTAACGAAAAATGAGGTCACTTAAAGCACTCTGACATTTGAAGATCTTTATTGTTTCAACACATATTCACGACAACCTCATGTTATCTTGTTACTTGAAAAACGTTAAATCCACTAACTTGGTTGACCTCGAAGTGTACACGTTAATACTTCAAATGGCAATAGTATACAGCTGATTGTACAGACCTTAGTTTTTTTTACTTTGAAAGTTAATGTTTTAAAAGCACTTATTCATTCACCCATCATAGATATGAGATTGTATAAACGAGGGTTGTTTAATATATCAGTTGTTAAATGTATACCATGTTGCATTAGTATGCCTTTACACAGATGCTAAGAAAATTGTCTAGTCAAAAAGAGTTTACATTGGTTTCAATTATCTCGATTCAATATTTATTTTGATAGAACAGTGAGAAGACGTAATTGATCTGAAAAATGTGATGTATTTGCGCTATACATTTCAAACAAACTGGTCACACATATTTACTTGTCAAGGCATTTTATATGAAGATTAATAGAAGGTCAATTAAATAAAAGTTCAAATAGACATAAGGTGATAACTGTAAATAAAGGAGAGAGAAAATTAACGCAAAGTGAAAAGAATAAGAAAGGGTAGGAAAATTGTCACATTACCCTAGGCTTAAAGATTACCAAGGTAAATTCAAGGTTATGACAAACTGTTTCTGCACACATAAGGGGAGTTTTAATTTTCGAATAGCCAAGGCCTTCATAAACCTCAATATTTGTCCTTCAACATTTCTAAACAATGTTTTGAAGGCTGTCTTGATGTCAATATTTATTGACTACTAGGAATACTGAATACATTAAAATCCTAATTAAATAATAATTTTGCACAATCTAATACTCTTTTAACTTAGAATGCTAATTTTGTTTTTTTCAATACGACTTTGTAAATTATTAAGTAGCAATCAATCTACTAGATTATCGATGTGTTTTAGGAATTTTGTTAGATTTCAGCCATAGCATTTGGCCGAAACGTTAATTTGTGAAAATAGGTCGATCCCTAGTAACAACTCATATTAATCTTGTATTTTTCATTAATTGAAAACTTAATGACTGAATAGCAGTTTTATAAATTCTGACATGTGTTTATGTTTAATTAGTTTGAATTAGGAAGTTTCAATGATAATGACTCTAGACAAAAACAGGCTTATCGAAATGATTTTATTCATGGCGCAGGTGCATTCATTCTTTGTGTACTTTGAAGTTTTAACCTTCTGAATTATTCATCATCTTTATCTGTTTCTTTTTAAGTTTATTTCACTAGATTCTACTTCTTGAATAATGTCTTCGAACCCTAATCTCTATGTCTACTGCTAATACCTTAACCACCTCTACTACCAAGGGATTTCAGTTGACAATTACATCTCTGTACTAATGTGATATGGCAACTTAAACTGATGTACTTACATATAAAGTTCTACGTTATTGTTGATTGATTGAATGATTTGATTCAGAAAGTATGATAGGATTTGAATAAAATTATGCCGTAACATCGTTTGATACAGAATGCTCTGTAAACAGTTTAGTGTTGTCAATTTGGCCTCCTGTACTTCTCTTCCATAGAGATATTTGATGGTTGAAATAAAATTGAGTTTTATGCCACACTAGATTAAGCTTTTGTTTAAGTTTGATTGAAAATTCAGTCATTTTATTACTCAGAAAACTTTGTGTCAGACATAATAGTCTGTATCTCCATACAGACTCGTATATATATAGCAAGGAAGAAGTAGAAATGCTTACGTTCAGTGCGCCGACAAATCACTCTCTGCCCTGGATTTATTTAATCTTTCTGTCACTTTATTGTCGTATTGTTCAAATGTAAACTGAACAAAGATATTAAATTAGGTACTTTATCTATTCATAATAATCATTTAACCCATTTGTTAAATTTTTGGTACCTCAATTTAATGAAAATTGAAGAATTCAAACGAAATATTCATTTATCTGACAATAGATTTAACAGTTTCAGACAGTTATCTATGCATCACAAAAAACATTAATCACGCAAACAGTATTTTCTGCGAAAGATAATTAAATATGCTCATTACGTACATATCTATATGCGCCGGAAAGTGAAGTTGCTCCCCGTGGTTAAAAGGGAATAGAATATAATATAAATTATTAGTTAGTGTCAAATTCTGTTTAGGTTAGCCGGCTTTTTATAGCCGGCTCAATCAGTAGTTCCTCTACAAATGGATAGAGTTTCTAAGAAATTTGCGCCCAATCATTTGTAAAGTATCATTATTCCTAATTAGGAGTTGTTACATAGAAAAAATTCGTGTGAATTATAACACCTTATTAAGAAACCATATATATATATATATATATATATATATATATATATCACTTTTATCGCGGCTTAGCTCAATCTCAATATAAAGCCTTCTCTATTGGCATCATTATTCCATCAGTGAACAGACAATAACTTTATTTCACATGATTTCTACAGACACATTGAACATAACAGTTTTTGGTAGATCATACATTCTATTCAATGATTGTTTGTAGCTAGCAGTGAATCGTTCGGGTGGAAATAGTCGTTTTTTATCACTGATCAATCCGATGTAAGGGTGATACTATTCAGCAGAATCTGCAACCTGGATTTGTCAGAAATTTATCCCAAAACATCTCACCATAAAGTTTTAAAATTCTTTTTGTAGTATATCTAGCATGGTTTAATCATACGATTTCCGTTATTCGGTGTGTGTTTGATTATAGCCTAAAGTATAAGTTGATATTGCAAGGATAGTGACTTGAAATTACCTGTCTCATTTTATCATCAGGATTCGTTGTCAGTTAGCAGCCGCTTATCTTATCAGACGTTAATTAAGACACCTTTAATGCCTCAGATAACATTATTTTGAAAACGTTATAACTTGTGAGACAATTTGCAGTCATCACAGGTGAACGACGTAGCATAATTTTAGAATAAGATAAAAATAATTTTCTATTTATTCCCACAGTTATTGAGTTGTACCTAAAGTGATCTAAAAAGTTTCAAAACACCTCCTATTATTGATAACATATATTAAAATAGGTAAATAACTATTCAAAAAAAACAAAACAACTAAACATTACATAGTTTTCATATTTTCATAAATTTAAAAAGAACTATTTGTTTACTATGTTATTATTAATAATCTGTAGTGACCAAACGAGGGTTTCAGCAAAATTGTTAGTCATGAGCAAACAACACGCATCTGTTGTTGGTAATTTGTTATTTGAAAAATTCTTTCTGAAATTTTATTTCATCATAGACAGAAAGGCGAGAGATGTTAGTTAATTTATTTATCATTGACAAACGGATATGATATAGGAAAGATTATATATGTATATATATATATATATATATATATATATATATATATATATATATATATATATATATATATATATATATATATATATGTCTAACAAATAGCGGTAACCTATTCTGTGTTTGGTTGCATTCGTTATATCTATTATTAATGGATAAACTAACTCCCTTGTAACAGACAATCAGTTATTAATCAAAAATCTTTTTTTTTCTGAAAGAATAAGGATTTTTAGTTAAGAATGAGAATTTCGTTGTTATGGTGATTTAAATATGTTTGTTACTCAGAAAATACAATGATATGAAAATCTGAAGCTGTAGTCAAGGCAAGCTTAACTGAAAACCACTATTATTATGGAATTTTAGATGCTCTACATCTCATAGTGGAAAAGTAGTCAACATTAGTATCGTATATATGAGTTAGAAATCAAACTTACTGATTTCTTAAACGATACATTGTGCTCCTGACATAAATTTCAAGAGTTTCTTATTACACTCTTACTGAATTCTATTTTATTCACTTTGAAGTTTTACCATCATATACCATCTCTTGATGACAGTGAGGAATGTGAACATCATGGACGCATGTTGCATCTCTAAACAGAATCGACTTCATGACTAATAGACTGTTCAGTGATGAAAGTTATGTATTCCGTATAAAATTCAAGTCATATATGAAATACATGTCATTCAATTTGTAATAGTTAAGTCAATTTATTACAACCCATTGATTCAACTTTTCTCAGACTTTATAAAACTATATTCAATAGTTTAACTGAGGTTTATTCTTGATTTGCAGTAATTATTAAAATGATTTTAAGATTAACTGCTATTCAACTACTTGAATGTGAATAGTTACTATTTTAAGTATTTCAGACTATTTATTCCATGGAAAGCATAGATCAGAAATGAGATTTTAAGTGACTTTGGGATTTTTGCTAATAGTTGTTTAAAAATGTTTTATTTGTAAGTCTCTTACCCAACTCTGCCCATTGATCAACATTTTTAAAATCAATTTAACTTCAGGAAAAGAAAAGATAAACAAAAGTGGTAGAAGAATGAATAACTATCCCAGTCTGCCTGTAGTTTCTTTTAGTTAAGCAAATTACATTATTTCGGCAACTTTTAACTTTTTTTCTTCATAAACATGCA